CCGCCTAAGATTATTGGCCTTAAGGGACCGTTTCTCCACTACCAGGTCTATTGCAAATGAATGGTTTGCAGAACACGGAAGACCTATTGGCATGCGAAGTGTTTACCGACGAATGAGAAGTTTTGGCTTGTTTTCATACCGGCCACACTGGGACCTCCCTTTAACTCAAGAACACCAACGTAATCGCCTTGAGTGGTGCAGACAACGGTCACTCTGGGATCAGGAATGGAACAGTATTGTCTTTAGTGACGAGTCTCGATTTTGTTTAGGCATGCACGATGGTCGTGCCAGGGTTAGAAGGCGACGTGGTGAAAGGAGGAATCCACAGTTTTTTGTTGAAAGACATGTTCATCACACTGTTGGAGTTATGGTTTGTGGTGCTATAGCTTATGGTTCCAGGTCACCTTTAATCTTCATCAGAGGTAACATGAACGCGCAGCGTTATATGCACGAAGTTCTAGATCCCCATCTTTTACCCTATCTTGACACCCTGGCAGATCCAACTTTCCAACAAGATAATGCCCGACCACATGTTGCAAGATTCACAATAGACTTCTTTCAACATAATGATGTCACATTGTTACCATGGCCACCAAGATCTCCCGACTTATCCCCAACTGAGCACGTGTGGGATATGATGGGTAGGAGATTGCTCAATTTGCTACGACCTTCTCAGACTCTAGAAGCACTTCGAGAGGAGTTGGTGGTTGCCTGGAATGAGATACCACAGGAGGACATTGACCACCTGATCAGAAGCATGCCTAGGCGCGTTGGAGAATGCGTAGCACATCAGGGTGCATCCACACATTATTAAAGGTCAAAGGGCTTTAAAGCAGTGCAATCATTTTGGAATTTTTATCATTTACTTATTATGCTTCATTAAGTACTTATACAAAATTTTATTAAAATAAAACCATTTAAACTGGGTGTTCGGATTTATATGTCACTTAGTATAGTTCCCAGAAGTTTGTTTATTCTTATGGCTGAATGTACTAACGAAAGGCTAAGCATCTTGCAAGAGAAGACAAAAAGCAATATCTTCCCACCAATTATCACGAAATGATGTTGGTAATTGGTTGTTATTTTGTTATGGCGTACAACAAGGTACCATCTTTGTCTAATTATTGTTCATCTAACAAGTCACTCGGAAATGAGGCTATTAAAAATGCCATCTCTAGAGACAGATTTCTTCTTCTTACATCAAAAATGTATTACAACCATCTTAAAAAAAACAGAAAATTCAGACAAACTCTATTACATTTCTGAAGTTATGTCGTGTCTCAAACATACATTTCCAGTGCTTTTCAAACTATGGCGAAATCTAAAGGACGTTCTTCGCTAAAACAATATCTTTCGTTAAAACCAATAAAGACCGGTATAAAGATTTGGGAGAGATGCGATTTTGACTCCGGATGTGTATATGGTATGAACATGTATGCTGAGAAAGACGAGGAGCAAAAAGAAGAAACATAGGGGAAAGAGTGGTAAACAAGTTATATAGGTCTATAAATGATCCAAACGTGATGTGTTTTGATCGTTTTTTTACGACGGTGAATTTAATCGCTTATTTAGATTTTGCTGCTGTTAGGACATGTATGTCAAATAAAAAAACCTGCCACAGTTTGAAAAGAAAAAAATGGGAAAAGGAGATTGCCAAACATTATTTAGTGATCAGCGTGTTATCGCACATCTATGGAAAGATTCTAAAGAGGTTTTGATTCTTTCAAACTGTCACAACGACGAAATGGGATCTGTAGAAAGACGCCAAAAAGACAGAACCAAATTAACGTGTCCTGTCCGGAAGCTATAAAAGCATATAATAGATTTATGGGTGGTGTTGATCTTTGAGATCAAACGTCTAGCTTATACGAAATTGATCGGAAGTCTCGAAAATGATGGAGAAAACATTTTACAAGCTACTGTTAACATCAGCCTCAAATGCATGGATACTATTCAAGGAAGCTCATAAGCGTGATGTTCGGTTTATTACATTTCTAGTAAACCTAACAGAAGACTTGATAAACACACGTCGACAAAAAGCAGGTGTTGTTAGAAAACGCTGTAGTGGCAGACCTCCAAGTTCATCAATAAATCTCGTAAACGTAGGAGATCATTTGCCGTGCCTAGGAAAACCTCGTCGTAGACGTCATTCATGTACTTCTCGAAAAGAGGAAAAAAGAACAAAAACCATGTGTTCAGGATGTAAGCTTCTCTTGTGCAATGACTGTTTAAAAACCTTTCACACTTAAATCTTAGAAGTTTATTATTTTCGTTCAAGTTACATTTTTAACTATACTAAGTGACATATAAATCCGAACACCCAGTTTAAATGGTTTTATTTTAATAAAAGTTGGTGAATGTATTTATCTTACTGTAAACAACAAGTGAAAAAATTTTCAGCTTTTTTTTTAATTCACTAACGCTCTGAAAATGAATATTTCAGTCGCAGTAAAGAATCAACGTTGGCGGATTTTGGTTCTTGATATCCTTTACGATGGGTTACGATGCCTAGAGCACGGAGACCTGTACGATTTCGTCAACTTAGTGAGTTTGATAGGGGCCGTATAGTGGGACTTCGGGAAGCTGGACTTTCTTTTCGGGCAATTGCAATTAGAGTGCAAAGAAGTGTAGACACTGTGGTTAGGTATTATCAGGCATGGCTTCGAGAAGGCCGTACGCAAAGGGCAAGGGGCACTGGACGCCGCCGTAGAACAACAGACCGTGAAGATCACCGCCTAAGATTATTGGCCTTAAGGGACCGCTTCTCCATTACCAGGTCCATAGCAAATGAATCGTTTGCAGAACACGGAAGACCTATTGGCATGCGAAGTGTTTACCGACGAATGAGAAGTTTTGGCTTGTTTTCATACCGGCCACACTGGGTCCCCCCTTTAACTCGAGGACACCGACGTAATCGCCTTGAGTGGTGCAGACAACGTTCACTCTGGGATCAGGAATGGAACAGTATTGTCTTTAGTAACGAGTCTCGATTTTGTTTAGGCATGCACGATGGTCGTGCCAGAGTTAGAAGGCGACGTGGTGAAAGGAGGAATCCACAGTTTTTTGTTGAAAGACATGTTCATCACACTGTTGAAGTTATGGTCTGGGGTGCTATAGCTTATGGTTCCAGGTCACCTTTAATCTTCATTAGAGGTAACATGAATGCGCAGCGTTATATCCACGAAGTTCTAGAACCCCATCTTTTACCCTATCTTGACACCCTGGCAGATCCAACTTTCCAACAAGATAATGCCCGACCACATGTTGCAAGAGTCACAATAGACTTCTTTCAGCATAATGCTGTTACATTGTTACCATGGCCACCAAGATCTCCAGACTTATCCCCAATTGAGCACGTGTTGGATATGATGGGTAAGAGATTGCTCAATTTGCAACGTCCTCCTCAGACTCTAGAAGCACTTCGAGAGGAGTTGGTGGTTGCCTGGAATGAGATACCACAGGAAGACATTGACCACCTGATCAGAAGCATGCCTAGGCGCGTTGGAGAATGCGTAGCACATCAGGGTGCATCCACACATCATTAAAGGTCAAAGGGCTTTAAGGCAGTGTAATCATTTTGAAATTTTTATCATTTACTTATTATGCTTCATTAAGTACTTATACAAAATTTTATTAAAATAAAACCATTTAAACTGGGTGTTCGGACTTACATGTCACTTAGTATATAAGTATTTTTGTTACTTTTACTTTTTTCCGTACTGTTGGGACAAATGTGTCCCATTTTGTATTTTTTGTTCATTACTTAATAAAGAAAAACATTGTTTTCTATTATGTAATCCATTGATTTTTGTTATGTACATAATGGTATTTTGCACGTACACTAGAAAAAAAAAAGAAACGTCGTATTTTGAATGCCGATTTTTGCTGGAACCCATTCATCCCAACCGTAAAATTACGTTCTTCTTTTTCAAAGTAAAGTCGTATCGAAACGGTTAAACCTTTGACGCAAGTATAATGTGTTGCTTGGTGTCAAGGCACTACAACTTTGATGTAACAAGAATCATTCAACAAATACTTGCATAGCATTATTCTGCGTCGGTAATCAAATAAGTCTAAAAATGTGATTTAGTTCCCAAATGTACCGAAGCATTTGAAAACTTGCCACCTCGGAATTGATCGAAAGCCACTGATTAAAAGGAAAGACGCGAGACGCGTCGAAATATTTGTCAAGGGAGACAACTTTTCAACCAAAAACTACAACATCTTCTTTCACCCTCTGCCCCCCAGGATCATCCCCTTAAAAATTTTAAATGACAAGAAATAGCAAGTAATAGCTTGTTAGAAAGGTCTTTCTAAGTCCTTTATTTTGATGTTTGATTTTTTAAAATCGGTCAATTCGCTTACAAGAAAATTATAAAAATCTTTATTTATCTTAATTTATTCAAATAGAAAACATAAACACGCGAAAATATCACTTTTATTTCAATAAGTGTTATTGGCCAAACGATGATATGGGCGATGCTCAAATTCCTGACGGACATTTTCGAAAACATGTTGTAGGATATCATGGTAGTTTTCGATGATGTGTTGACGAAGTTCATCCAAACTTTCAGGTTGGGAGTAAACACAATATGTTTCAAATGACCCTATAGAAAAAATTCTAATGGCGTCAAATCAGGAGATCCAGCAGGCCATTCTATAGGCCCTCTTCGTCCTATCCATTCAAATACAGTTCACCCAGGATATCTGTGACAAATCTTTTGACGTGTCTCGGCGTTTTTACTTTTAATCAGCGCTTTTCGATAAATCCCTGGTGAGAAGATTTCGAATGAACACCCTGTAGGTATAATATAAATAGCGACGTCACAGTTCAGTAATTTCGTAATGAATCCTTCCAGCTGAGCTATAATATAAATATCCCAAAAAGGCTGCCGCTTGCTGTGCACCGATTCTTGAAGGCTCCCAGACAAAGCGCTGCTAATTATCTCCCCATCCTTACCTTGGTATTAAATATTTCTCTAATTGCGATTTCCACTTACCTTAAAGCGGTGTGGTAATGAAGCTTGGCTAATTCAGGCCTCTTCGAGTCCCTCAGGAAATTGGCGTAATTGTAATGCATTTTGGCGTTGTGAGGTAGCGTCTCCAGGCCTGCTCTGTAATTCAAAAGAAGCATCGTCATCACGAGTTTCTTAAGTGTCTATTATGCCGTTCGTTTACAAGGTTCTTCAAAAGAAGTTTCCGTGCGTTTGAGAGCAGATTTTGCTACGAAACGTTAAGATAAAATGTAAATAGTCTATAAAAAGCATCAACAATAGAGAGTTTTAGAAATCATAAAAAATACCGCATTCGTAACCTGTAAACATTAACGTTTGCGTGTGTAATACTTGTTATTGTAAAATCTATCTACTACTCGAATCAGATGCTTCCTATACGTCCGCAAAGTTGGAGTTTACCTTTACACGACGTGTAGATCTTGAAAACAAAAGCAATTTTTCTGAGTACCCCATATACACCAATGTCTTAAGGGAACCGAGATAAAGGGCTCTGCAACATCAAAAATATCTGAATACCGTCCTGTAGCCGCGACCCGCGACATCACCGATCGGTACAAGGTCACTGGCTCAACCCGATGACAGAACTGGGTCGGGGTCAGTGTGTCAGGTCAGTATGCAACCTTCAACCGACGGTTACGGTCACGAGTGTAGAGGTAAACGAACCCGTATAATCGATTGCGTTTCAAAAAACAACAAGCACTAGAGGTGGCTAGAGAAGTGCAAGTATCAAAAACTAAAGTATGGCAAACGCTGCGTGAAGAGGGGCTGTATCCGTTTCACGTCCAACGTGTACAAGCCCTTCAACCTGACGATTTTCCAGCAAGAGTGCGGTTTTGTGAGTGGTTGTTGCATCAACATGACAATAATCCGGACTTTTTGAAGTGCCTATTGGTGACAGACGAATCTACGTTCACGCGTAATGGGGTGAATAACTTTCGCAACAGTCATGTTTGGTCAGTAGAAAATCCGCACGCTGTCCGTCAGGCACATTTTCAACAAACATTTCGGTGAACGTTTGGGCTGGCATGGTGAACGGTATGCTCATTGGACCATTTATTCTCCCAAATCGATTGGACTGGATGCCATACCTAGACTTTTTACGCAACATTTTGCCTTCCTTGTTAGAAGATGTGCCATTAAGTGTAAGACATTCAATGTGGTTTCAGCGTCTGCTCGGTAGCGCATCAGCTGATTTCATTTTCTGTTGGAGCGGTATGATTTCGGGCAGAGACGTACTTATCCCTTCTTGTCAACTGGAGAGTGAGTAGCAATATTACTTATCATCGTAGTTTTAGATTTTTGTAGGAAAAATTAGATGCCCTCATGATATTACTTATGACAAATACTTCTTCGGCAGGTGTAACCTGAAGAAAAATTGGAACTTGTATAAGCGTTCTCTATAAATGCTCAGACGCGATAGGGTGTCATAAAAAAAACCCTGGAAAATTCTGTGTCGGTCCTATCTGCTAAAACAAGGACATAAAGGTCTTTGTAATATCAAATAGCAGATGTTGTGCACTCACCTTAGCAAAGAATCCCTTGACCTCCAGTCTCTATTTCTCACAATTGTCCTCAACGTCCCTGTAGCTACTAACAATACTATAAAAAATACCATAGTCTGTCTATGCTTGTAGTAGGCAGACCACAGTAACTGAAGTCCGTATACCACTAGTAATATGCACCCAAGGCTGAAAAAAAAAGAAAGTAGTATCAGTAATAATACTTTGGATTACACCACATTGAAGTAACTTAGTATAGTCTACCTAACCGTAGTTGGACCCACATAAATTACAATGGACTGAAATTGAGAGATGATCTAACACACAAGTGCTCAGTAATCAAAGAAGCTGACGCCAATCCGCAAACGTGGGATAGTACAAGTCATGATAGTTATCAGAAGGAGATAAAGAAACACTAAGTTAAAGACTTGAAAAAATTCTAAGAATCGTAAACATATACACCCTGTGATGATGTTTTAGCTCCCAGTACTACAAATTTCAATATGTTTTCAGACAGAGTGATGGACGGTGTCATTCTACTCTCCCTGCAGACATTCGTCAGAAAATTTCTGACAAAGGAGCTGTCATTAAGAAAGCGAAGAGGTCTTGTCACCCAGATGACATTCGCAGAGCAACGAATCTTCTTGATGAAGTGAGAAATGCTCTTCATGAATTCTGTAATGAACAATGGAGCGACTTTCTGTCGGGGATGCTTGACTTAAGTATTCCTCTCTGGAAGGCTGCAAGGTCGCTCAGAAATGGAAAATGAGAGCAACTCCCGTACATCCACAGTCCTAGGGGCATAATCTGTAGGAAAGAGGAAAAGGTCGAGGTTTTCGCTGATGCAATGGAAAGTCAGTTCTCTCTCAACTATGACCTTGATAATGACCTCGACGAGGAGCAACATATTGTAAGATCCGTTAGGAGATATTTTAGGGCCAACGGCGTCATTGGCAGTAGTGCCTCCCTTAGTGATTTTTCCTCAGAGGATTCAGAAGATTACACAACTGAAGAACTACATGGCACATCAGCAGAATCTCCTGAGACTCCGCATTGCACACCAGCAGAGCTTCAAGGTCATATTAAAGACATCAGGGTGCGTAAAGCACCTGGAGGGGATCGAATCACTAATAAGGCGCTGAAGCTACTTTCGCGGAAGTCCTTAACTTATCTCGTGGCAATAATCAATACCATGCTAAGGACCCAGCACTTCCCAGCGGCGTGGAAGACCGCTGATGTCATAATGTTACCAAAGAAGGTGGGTTCTATGTTCCCGCAGTATTACCGCCCCATTAGTCTACTGTCAGCTCCTTTTAAGCTCGCTGAAAAGGTGATTCTACGTCACCTTGAAAATTTCTCGTCAGACCACAATGTGATGCCTGACGTGCAATTTGGCTTTCGGTCTGAGCATAGTACGGAACTACAGACCATTAGGCTTGTGAAATGAGTAACCGGGGATTCACCCGTAACGAAAGTACTGCCATCTTGCTTCTGGATGTCTCAAAGGCATTTGACAAGGTGTGGCACAAGGGCCTTCTCTATAAATTGATCCATAAGGGCTTCCCCTTTTGGCTCCTGAAACTTTTGAAATCCCTCCTCGAGGGTAGGAAATTTTGGATCAAAATTAACAAGGTTCCATCGACAACACGGACCAACAAAGCCGGTGGCCCTCAGGGCTCGGTTCTTGGACCAGTCCTTTATTCACTTTTTATTCATGACGTCCCTTGCCCCAGCAATTGGGAAATCTATCTCTATGCTGATCACACTGCCCTGGTGGCCCATTCGTGTTTTGGGGATCTAGTTCACGACAGGCTGCAAAGCGCAGTGGTCGAGGTATTGGAATGGGCGAATCGGTGGCTGATCGAAATTAATCATTCGAAAACGCAGGCAACCTATTGTACTAAAAGACGTAGCAGTGCCCCGTCTGAGGTTTCAGTGACTGGAGCTTGAGTAACATGGGAAAGCTCTGGTAAGTATCTCGGTGTCACTCTTGACCGGGGGATGACCTGGCGGAAGCATACTGAAGCGTTCAAAAATAAATTCCCTATACCGTATGCTATGTAGAACATCAAAATTAAGTTTGACCAACAAAGTTCGACTAAACAAGGTGGTTATTAGACCAGCGACCACTTACGCAAGTACGGCTTGGTGCTTTCTGGCCAAAACGGATTTGCGTAGCCTGCAGGTTTTGCAGAACAAAACCTTGCGTATAATCACTAACGTCCCATGGTATGTTTCCAACGAGACCCTTCACAGAGACCTTGACATCCCTTACCTAAGGGAATACACCAAGCAACAAGCGCAGCTACATTATAGTCAAGCGGAATCGCATAGCAACCCTTTGTTGCGCGAGTCAGTAGACTACACAGTCGACTCGCACTGTGAACAAAATTGAATCGTGCGACCAAAATTATAATTTTTCTTCAACAACCAATCTCAAAATTAATTTTAGGATCAATTTAAAATTGCCGAATACTAATTAGCAATGCCAAGGCACCCCTCAAATTGACGCACTTTTTTTTCTTTTCTCTCCCTCCTTCCTTCTTTTCTTCTTCCCTTCTTTCTCCCTGACTTTGTTTGGTATCTGGGCAATCAGACCTGACAGACTTACAGGACTTTAACCAAGATCAAAGGTCCTACGGACCGCTCTGACAGACAATGACGAATAGAAATGTCATTCTACGTACTGATAGCAAGACAGCTAGTAACGCCACTTTTATTAATTTACGATTGTGTAGTGCCACCATGTCTGACTACGCATTTCAGGAATAATCCAACATGGACTTCAGTTATGGAGAATGTAGATGCAATGCTAGTACCGCAGCTAGGCTTTACCGTGAGAGGTGCACCCAAATGCTGCTCGTCATTCCGAATTCCATCCTAAAAGTTTTGGCACAAAATTCATTGGCTTTAATTTTAACAAACACAAAATGATATTAAGTTGCCCTTGGAGACAAAAGTTTCTTTATTTACTTTACTGTCAGTTAAGATGTCGTATACATTAAAAATAAAAAAAGTATCTACAAGATGTTTGGGCCACTCTACATAATTCGATAGAATAGTTTAGTTGAGTATTGAGTTGTCATTTACGATACCTAGTTAGTGTTTAAATGAATTTCTTCATTAGAAAAATCTGATAAATATTTTGTGCCAAAACTTTTAGGACATACGTTTTACTAGATCCGTCATTGCCTATCAAAGCAGACTAAAGCCATTAAATAATTTTACTGTCGGTTATTAGCGGATTGGTTTTTGCTGAAAAAGCAAATCTACCTATACATGAGTGATTATCTAAATGAAGCTTTGGCCAATATCGATCATAATCGGCACTCAATTAAAACCACAACTGCATTTGACCTGCTCGGTATATCTCCGTCGATGCGATTTCCTATAAAATAAAAGGATCTCACCCGAGCTTTTTGACCCAATCATCCGCGAAACTAGATTGGTCGCACCATTTTCATTCGACATTATAGTACGGTCAATTAAGTGATAACTTCATGTGATAAAACCTTTTTACAGATTAGAGATTTAACATATCGAAAAAAAACTAGAAAATAAGGAAAAACACGTTTTGTCGTTTTTTTCCAGACCATGGGAAACATTGGAAAAAATGGGAAAATTTAAATATTTTTTAATTGTGACTTAAAGTTTTTTAAACATATTTTGTAAAAATAAATACAAAAAACATACTTTAATAATATCTATTAATATCTAAGATATAAATACATACATGTATATAGGGTCAAATTATAATTATTATCTAATAATTTAAAGAAAGAAAAACAAAGCTTCAAAGGTAGAAAACACATTATTTAACCAAAGCGCTCAGAGGTATATTTTCACCTGAGTCTGAGTTTGAATATTCGGACCAAGCGTCTGATTCAGACTCAGATCTCCGCTTCGTCTTCATGGACGGACAAAACAGCATAATCTTTGCCAGTGTCTTCTAAAAGTGGAACTGGTCTAGCATCGTAAATGAATGTCTGTCTTTCGTTAATAACCAAATTAGAATGAATAGCAACCATCTTCAGAATTTTATCCTGTGATAATCTATTTCTTTTGCTTGTATGTATGAGGCCGTGTAAAGACCAGTTTCTTTCTGAACAGGCGGAAGGTGGAAGTCCATTTAAAATTCGGGAGGCAATTGGCATAAGTGGCTGCGATGTACACAAGCCTTGCCACCCTATAACGAGATGAGTACTATTCGCACTATCCCATAAATAATTTCGACCAAAAGAAACAGTCTTTGTTCTAAATTGGGCTAGATTTGCCACCACCTTCCCTACATCTAGATTTAGTGAACGAGCCATTTCAGAAATGAAGTGTATTGCTTCCATTAGTTGGTCTTCATGCAATTGTTCTCATTTAAAGCGAGCATCAAGAAGATTGGCTGCAAAGTGAATCGGCTTAGAACAAAATTCGTAGCGTTCTTCAACATATTTTAGCAACTTGTTGGGGAATTTCTAATATTGTGTCTTTTATATACTTAAAGACAAAAGGCACTTCTGATAATATAGATCTATCCGATTCTACTAAATGTATCGATTTTGATACAGGATGCAGGATTTGATTAGTATATTGTAGGTTTTGTCAGAACGCATCATCCAATACAACTTTTTTAATATTTTGTTTTACATTCAGGTTTTCCACTAATACAGTACATTGCAGAGTTTCATGATTTCTTCAAAGCGAATCAACAGTTATAAACAGAGAACCCCATCTTGTTTTTGCAGGTAATTTGAGGGAAATTACTTTATTTTTTGGGTATTTTTCGGCCTGTGCTTGTTTAAATGCAGCATAATGTATGTAGTGCTGTTTAAAATATTTACAAATATTTTTAGACTCTTTACCTATTTTTTCAAACAACTTTTCTTTCATAAAGTCCTTTAGTAGCAAATTCAAAGTGTGAGCTGCACAACCAATACAAGATATATGAGGATATGTTGTATTTATAATATGCCAAGCAGCCTTCATATTGCTCGCATTGTCAGTCACTACTAAAAAAAATTTTTGTGGCCCTATGTCTTGAATAACTTTGATAAGTTTATTACTTCCCGTTTCTTTTACAGTGCCACGATGATCAGTTTTGTAAAATAAAGGTATAGGCGTGCATATAACAATATTGATTAATCCATCT